ACATAAGATTTCCAAGGCTGGAAATCTTTCCAGAAGCACACTGTCCCACCTTCTTCTTCAGCTGTGGGGTTTGAACCTCAGACCTTTTTGCTGTCAGCTGTGTATTTAACCACTGTGCCATGAGGTCGCCATCTTCTGGAACTTGTTGGGGCAGGAGGTCATAACTGGTTCCCCAGAGGGTCATGTGGAGGAGCGAACACAAAACTTGTCCCCACACAGTGCTCATCCCAGGCAATGGGCCCAGGACCCAGCTGCCAGCCTACAGTGCCCACCGCTCAGGGCTCTGCATCTAGCTGGGCTCTGGGATCTGATTTTCAGGGGCAGTGCCACAGATAGGGTGGTCATGCCTTTAGAGCACCTGCCCACAGGGCAGGCTGTCCCTCCATGCTCCCCCTGAACCCTTGTCCTCGTAACCTGTCTCAGCACCTCTCTCTGATATGAAGGGCATTTCTGGCCATGTCTTCTTGGCAAATCCTCTTCTTCAGTCACCTCCACGTTCTTAATATCCTGTTAGTCTTAGTCGCGTGTAGAAACCAAGTTCCCTGGTGAAGTGGGCCTGCTCCTCTGGCTTGAGGGTGTAAAACTTCCTTCTAGAAAGACTCCAAGAGTTGACCCTGAAGAGGTCATATGTGGTGTCCTGCCTTGTTGAATTTCCCATCCAGTGCCTTTCCAAAGTGGAAATGGCTGGACCTGACATTGACTATTGGGGGTCTGGGGGGTCTGTGGACAGGGGACCTTTGGAAGGCCAGGGAGAGAGATTTCTGTGTTCCTTTGAACCATGAAGGCTTAGCATGGTGGCCATCCTGCCCCTGGTGGATTCTGTAGATACCATTCCATAGCTATCAAGTGAAATAATAAAGGGTTAACAGATTGCTAAAAAGATCTGCATTAGGTTTAGCCACATTCTAAGCAGCAGCCCTTCCCCACTTGGGTTTGAGGTTTATAGTTAAAAGCTAACTTGCCTTCAGGGTTTGCGTGAAGACAGTAAAGTTAGTTTTTGTTGGTTAGCCCTAAGACAGAACAATGAGGACCTCCTCGTAACACACAGTGAGAAAACTGGTCAGCATGACTGGGACACGTTCACGACTGTGATGTGAAATAACGATTCACCCTGTTCCTTTTCCTTAGGGAACCTTCTGATGGGGAGGCAGATTTGGAAAACCTGTGGCCCTATCTCCTGTATACCGCTACATGACAAAGCTCTAGCAACTCATCCTACACCTGTCTCTGGGGTTGGTTTTCAGCAGCAGGCAGCAGATCCAAGGCACTGTGTAACAACTGTCATAGACTGAACTGTGTCACTTCTAAAATCTATGCCGATTTGGGCATGTATTTTCACAGTGGGTTTGTATATACGTAATGATGGGATCTGACAGGTGTGCAACGGAGTAATCCTCACTCATGATGTGAACAGCACTGATTTGATGTAAGGGGATCCGGGTGATAACATGCCCAATGTCAGGGCAGCTTCCCTGGGGTGTGACCTGAATCACTTTTTATCTTAACAAGAGATGGGAAGTGAGTAGAGAGAGCAGGGACCAACAAGGTAGAGGAGGCTGAAGCAGAGCACAGCCTTTTGGGAACCTTGGGTGGGAACCTCCTAAACACAAGGGAAGGTTGAGGCAAGACACATGGACAGCGCTAAGAAATTCTGGGAACACAGAAAATAGGAAAGACCTGGTGTGAAAAACAATGTATATGAACTTTGTTAAGTAAACCAGTGTAAAATAAAAATTTTATTTAAAAAAAATAAAGCAAAGTGAAGGTAGTCCTATAGAAACAAAGACTGAGAAAAATTGCTGCTGAGAATCCTGCTTTGCATGAAAAAGTAAAAACAAGATAAAAAAAGATAAAGAACAAAACAGGCCCTACAGAGTAACTGGTGGACTTGAACTTGTAACCTTTCAGTTAGCAGCTCAACATGTAATGAAGTACCTTGGAAGATAAGCCTGGAGATGTGCTTATGACAGTCACAGCCGTGACTCTGCACATGTGGTTCACTGTGAGTTGGCTCTGACACAATGGCAATGGCCCTCTGGTCCTTTCCATGTGTTGTTCATTTTCCCCCCAGAGGTTCAAGGAACAAGGGGTGCTGACCTTTTTGGTCAGTGTTACGTGTGTCAAGTCCACTCTGACCCTTAGTGACCCTGTGAACAACGCATCTGACTGATGCCCTGCCCTGAGCCATGTTCATGAATTCCTCCACGCTCAAGCACACTCTTATCATCACTGCATCTACCTACCTTGCTCAGGGTCTTCCTCTCTTTCTCAGCTCTCCCCCTTTCCCAGCATGATGTCTTTTTCCAGGCCTGGTTCCTCCTGACAACTTGCTCACGTATATGAGACAACGTTTCACTACCTGAGCCTCTAAGGAGTGCTCTGATTGCACTTCCTTCAAGATAGATTTGTTGGTCCCTTTGAAGTCCTTGGTATATTAAATATTCTTGGGCAATGCCACAATTCAAAGGCATCAATTCTTCTGTCATCTTTATTTCTTGTCCAACTTTCAGTGCATAGATATCAACTGAAAACACTATGGCTTGGATCAGGAGCACCTTAACCCTTCAGCTTGCCCTTTAGCACTTTGAAGAGGTCTTTGATAGCAGATTTTCCCCAGTGTAACATGTCTTCTGGTTTCTTTTTTTAAAAAATAGATTATTTAT